CTGACGTCCTTTTGCTCCGAAATCTTGCCCAATGCACCCCCCTCTCATCTTTGTCTGTGCTTGGCCGTAGACGACTGCGTTCCTCCTCACCACCCCCATCTCCTCCACGGTCTCGCTTGCGAACAGACTCTCCAGTTTCCATTGTCCCCATTGTTCCACCTGTGTTGATGGTACAAGTTCAGCTTCTGTTTGTAACACCACTATTCCTCTTGTTGTGTATCACCGACGACTCCTCTTGTTGTGTATCACCGACGACATCCGCGGCATCGTCACTTGTCCGGGGATCAGCAACCTGTTTCTTTGTCTGCCCCGATTCTCTATGTGCCTCCTCCACAGGTTGTTGCGGTTCCTTTGTTTCAAACGGCAATATCCGCTCCTATGACTCCTGCATACAGTCCATCTGCCTGCAGGCAGCCACCAGTCCCTACTCAGGATGCAGCCGCTGCCCAGAGTACACTCCCGAGTCCAGGTATAGTCCCTACTCAGGATGCAGCCCTAAACGTTGAGGGATTGGAACATGATCTGCCCGGATCGCAGTTGACCCCACAAGGCGTAGACCACATGGGGGATCTGCAAATGGCTGACCAGCATTGTTCGGATGAAACACAATTTTGTGCTCCGCCACACGCAGACCACATGGGTGATCTGCAAATGACTGACCAGCAAACAACCCAACACAGTTTGGGCTTGCAACACCATCTGGGTGATCTGCAAATTGTTGGCCAGCAGCCAACAAACCAGCCTGAGAACCTCACCAATCTCTGTGGTTTGACAGCAACTAATATCTGTCTTCACATTCTCCATCGCCCGTTTTATACACCATCAGACTTCCTTGCAATCGCCCTTCAGCTTGATGCTGATCTTCCCCAACGACAGCCAGAGGATTGTAATTATACCAGCGAAGGAGGCTTTACCATTGCTGTCCTACAAGTAGCAATGAGGGACCGTCAACTTGAACTACGCAATGCTCGAGCAGGTGAGTGGTTTAATMCTCCATCCCACATCTCTGCCTGCATTGTGCACGGCCCTGGCCATTACATGGCCATTGTACATGCCTCTGACCGCTGGGAGCTGTGGGACAATGGCACCATGGTCCATGCCATGATTGATGTCGCTGATTTTTTACAAAATGATGTTGTTTTCTTGCCACAACAAACCGTCCGCAATCTCTTTTATGTCGAAGATCATTCCTCTGGCCCCGTGCTGCAGCAAGACAATGCACCAACACTCTGCGACCTTCTCCTTTGCATAACCACAAACACTGTTACACTCGGCTGTAGCCGCCATCGTCTCTGTCACAATCACTACAATGACATGGTTTCTGCATCCATGTGTGCAGAGGACTGTCCCACCGTTCCTGACTGCAGGCACCCTCCGCATCCGGACACTATATGTCCATTTTGCGGCCATGGGCGCTATGCTGAATGCATGCTCTTTTGTGGTGACCGTTCTTCTTTCATTTTGGCCTGCAATCGACATGCCATTTGTCTGGGGTGTATGGCGGGCATGCTCAATGCCACTCGTCGTGGCAATTGTTGCACGGAGAATGCTCAGCTAGGTCTTCCATGTGTTCATCCATGTCATCCTTACAATGTATGTCCTCTCTGTCGTCAAGGACAGACTCATTCTTGAGCCTTTTCTTATCCTCTTTTGCCTTCACCTTCACTCCACACTCCGTACTTTCCCTTACTTTCCCTTTATCGTTCTTTGTTTGTCTGCTCTCCATCTCTCCTCCCTGTGTTTATCCCCGCCCCCTTCACTCTGCCTCTTTCTCACAGCGTACAAGTGGGCTGTTATGGCACACGGGGATGGGGGCAGCTCGCGCTCAACTTCATCAACGTGGCGAGCCTTGTACGTGAGAGGCACGGTGAAAGGGAAGTCAAAAGAAGAATGAGTAAAATGAATGGTTTCACTGTAGTCAAACAGAGCTGCCCGGTAAACCGTAGGCAGAGAGGGAGAAGAGGACAACAAACGAGGGGCTGTGGCAAACTGTTTCGTCGGAGTTTCACTGACTCATCAGGAGGCTGAACCCTCAACAGTCTGCAGAATCCCCTAACTGATTACTCTGTAAGTGATAATCCACCTTAACCCCGGCTGTGGTTAAGCATCAACGACTGCCCGACAACTGATACCCTGAGGTGTATCACTGCTGGTTTTTCTCTTTCCTGCTTTATTGTTTAATTTTAATTAAATAATTTAAATTAATATTTTTGAAATTTTCACCTTTCCTGCTTTCTCCCAGGGTGGATGCTGCCATGGATGGAGAAATTGCGGTTGGAATTGCAAGGAGAAAGAAGTTAAAGAAGCTGCGGAAGGGGGTATTTACTGATGAACAGTTACAGCTGCTGAGAGAGCTTTTTGAGAGGTGGGAGTACTGTGATCATCAGAATGTTTCCTGATCTTTGCATTTCTTTAGATGCCTCCATCCCCTTTGACAAACGTCAAGTCCCTATCTGATTCCTGTGGATGTGTTCCTGAGAGATTGCCTGTTTGTTGTTTGCCATCCCTTCGCTATAGTTGTGTACTTGCTTGACAGTTCAATGTTGCTCACATCTGATTGCTGTGGATGTCTGCTTGAAACTTACACCTGTCACAAGTGAAGAAGGATGACAGTGGAAGAGAAAAGGTGCCCGTTGTGTGTGGCTGAATAGTGCAGACATGTAACTATTAGTAAGCAGATCAGGCTGCAATCAGATGAATACAATAATGAAAGGGGTTACCGCCTCCACCAGTCCCTCTGAGCCTCTTTTTCCCGACCCAAATTGCTACTGCATCATCTGCATGCCAAAAAAAGAAAAAAACGATGCGGGTGCAAAATATTTTTCTTCTTGCCTGGCACCGCCAGCCCTCTTTGTCTGGTAGGCCAAGCCCCTGTTGATGGACAGGGTTTACTGCCGTGTCGGGACAAAATAGCTGGGGAAGGGACCAGGTGGTCTGACCAAAAAGGGTGACGGAAAATGCGGAGTTGTGTAATCGTTGGTGGCAGTTATAAAACGGTTTGACCTTAGCAAACTTTCTGCTTTTGACCGAGCACATCTGACCACCAAGCAAGAGGGCATGTGCCTCTTCATTGCAGTGTCGTGCAAACTCCCACACCTCTCCTTGGTCCGAATTCAAGTCATGGATATTGCATCAGTAGATTCAGTACTGATTCTGTAGTAGATTTGGATGGTCTCAATTGCAATGATAATGATGATGATGGTGATAATTGATGCTGTTTGATGGTCAAATGATAATGTGATGGTGATGATTGAATATTTATATGCCGATAGATAACCATTGTCCAGGGAGGTTGAAAACGAATAGAAGGAAAGAGGACCCAGAGGGCCAGAGGGGAAATTCCTAAGGAGGGTGGTGGTGGTGGTGGTGGTGCTGCTGCTGCTGCTGCTGCTGATGATGATGATGATGATCATCATCATCATCATGAAGATATTGATGTCCAATCACTTTGATTGTAATTGCAGGATCTACTACCTCATCCATGGAATATAATGGAGCAAATGATGGTATTGCAACGAACATTAGTATAATACTAGGAAAAATAGTCCAAATGATTTCTTTAGTGGTTCCGTGAACAATTCTCTCTGGAATTGGGTTTTTCTTATAGTGAAAATGCCATAAAACATGAACCAACATCCATAACACGAAGATCAGAATCACCATCAAGAAAAGAAAGATATCTTTTTTTGTTTTGTTTTTTTCTTTTCTTTTTTTTTTATATAGAAAGCCCAGGGTGTTGTAGAGGCCAAGGACCAGACCCGCGGTGATTGCTGGCAGCGGCAGCCAATGGTTGTCCTGACAGGATAGGCCACCTACCATACCCATCCCCACGTTAATACTCCCAGCGCGCCCCCTGTCCCTATTATCCTACCTCAGTCTGACCAGCACTCAGGACCATCACCCGACCAAACTTGGACCAGACAGCAGTGACAAGCATCAAGGCTGGGCCAACCCCCTAGCCCCAGTGGAGCGGAAGCGGACGAACCTTGCCCTACTGGAACTTCGGACGCCAGGCTCATGCAATCTTCGACAGGCCCAATTCAGAGAGTCTACCCAGCAGGAGTACCTAAGCACGGCAAGCCGGCGCCCACGGACACATCCTACTGTCCTTCCCCTAACTTACCCAAGGCTAGGCGGAACTCAGACTATCCGGAGCGACTTATATCCCTACTAAGCCATGTGTGAGTAGACCCCGTCATGTACCTGATAGGCCCCCCCAGCCCGGTATCATAGTTGTGTATATATGTGTGCCCAGAGGCTATGTATGTATGTATAAGCCCGTAGGCTCTGTTTTTGTGTCTGCCTGAAGGCTATATGTGCTCTGTGTAACTGTATAGCGAGATGTATATGCCCGAAGGCCACATATGTGCAGTACTCTGTCGAGGGAACTATGTGTTCGTTGAAGAGATGACAGGCCAACTGGACAAGAACCCCCCCAAAGTCCCAAGCCCAACTCGAATCCATGATCTATGACATGTGACCTGAAGACTACCATTTGAGCAACAATCGCAAACAGCACCTGTGTGTGATATGCCAGACTGGGTAGGTCAACAGAACAACCATGAGCAACAGTGATAAGCAACCCACGCAGTATCAAGACCCGACATACAACACTGTGGACAACCCTTGGGCAGTGCGCAGGCAGTGTCTGTAATAGCTTACCATGCGTCAGCCCAAGGGGGTGTGTGTCCAGCCGTGAATCATTCTAACGCCCTGCCGGTGTCCATGCGCAAGGCTGCGGAGTTTTGAACCCACAACCTCATACCATAATGCGCATTTCCAACCAGTGCTCTAACCACTGAGCTACATCAACGGGAAGTTATCATAATCTAGGATAGAGGTCAGTGCAGAACGCCTGCCCTCAGAACCACACGTGACAGTTTCCCGTCATGCAGCTCGCCCCCCAAAACCTTAGCTTTGTTTGTGGGCTCAGGAAGGGAAGCTGACAAACAGCTTCGCTTTGCGCCTTCCGACTCTTAATTGTCCGGAATTAATCTCACGTGTAGCTAGAGGATTGATTTCCTGACCTTGCAATGATGATGATGATGATGATGATGATGATGATAATGATGATGATGATGATGATGATGATGATGATGATAATGATGATGATGATGATGATGATGATGATGATGATAATGATGATGATGATGATGATGATGATGATGATGATAATGATGATGATGATGATGATGATGATGAGGAGGAGGAGGAGGAGGATCATGGTACAATGGTTGTAAGTTGTAATGCTTACAATGATGCCAAACTGGGATGAGATCGGGATATGTCTGGGAAGAGGGTGTATTTGTAGAAAGGGATGGAGAAATGGGTATGAAATAAAGAAGGAGAAGAAGAAGAAGAAGGTGATGGTGGGAACAATGAGTATGATGTTGAAGGTGATTGAGATAGTGGTACGTTTGGGTAAAAAGAAAGCAGAAGAAGATGAGGAGGACGAAAGAGAAACAAAAGAACGAGTGGGAGTAGGAAAATGAGACCAGATGGCGCTGATGGCAATAGGTGAGGATGACGATGGTGTCAATGTTGAAGCTGGAGGCTCCTTTAAGGTTTCTTGTTTCGTTTTGTGAGCGGCCTGTGCTGATGGGCACCAGTAGATGGATTCTGATCGGCATGCAGTTCAGGGAAGGACTCATCAGCACATGATCACGATCCTAGTTGGGCCAGCCACCTGCTGTCACTAGTTTGCCACTGGAAAGTGGTAAGCGGGTGGATTGGATGATGCGGAGCCATCCTTATAGACATCTTACAAACTGACACATTGTGTACCGTCTGCTGGAGAGTATGTTCAGGGAAGTGGAGTGATAATGAGATGGATACAAATGAGACGACCCGCTCATGTGCATCTGGTTGGGTATGTGTTTGATGGCAGGCATAAGGATGAAAGGGCATGTGCAAAGCTGGTAGCAATGGGTTTGGATCCAGAGGGCCGCATCAAGCCTGCCCAGGTAATCAGACAGCTAAAAGTACTTGGTCTTTGGCAGCAGCGAAAGGAGGGAGGTATTTGGAAGGCAAAACACGGGCTGTCCTCTGCTAGCAGTGATGATGATGAAAGCGCCAACAGCGGCAGTGCCACAGATAATCATGATAGTGACAGAGACACTGGTGAACGGGAAGTGGAACCGGTAAGGAAGAAGCCTGGTAGGACAAGTGCTAGGTCGATGGGATCCACTCCGGCAGAGAAGGTTAGATGGGGTGTCTTCACTGAGGCAGTGGATGAGAAGCTGAAAAAGGCATTTGAAAGGTTAGTGCTTGTTTTTCTGCCTGTTGTTTGTCCTATGTTCTGATTCTTCAGCGTTCTCTGCCATGCTCGAGGAAATCGGCCAATGCAGCCTGGTTTGCTTTGGCCACTTCTAAGGCCAGTCCATGCAATTGAATAAATCTGTTCAATTGGGATCAAGACTAAGGTGAGAATGAACTCCCATGTAGTGTATCACTGCAATACCAGCAGTGCACTGCATCGTTGCAGTGAAGAGAGGATAGAAAGTGTGGAATCCACTCCAACCCTCGATAGCCCGGGTACCGTTATTTTCGGAGACTGCACGCCAACTCCGCTTTTTCCCAGTGATCACACGATGCCTGGGCTCTGTGGCAGTGATTGCTTTTTCATGCTTGACGTGAAACTCACCCTGTTCATCGCTCTACACCCTTCTTTTTCACCCATCATGAGTGTTGCACACGCCGACCGTCGGCGACCCTTGACTGGTCGGCTGCTGACCCGCCGACCGGTCGGCTGGTCAGCACCTACCGGTCGGGGGTCGGTCGGCACCCCGCGAAAGATTTTTTTTTTTTTTTTGGGTCCAGAACCCCTA